CCTCTGGCATTATTGGGTGTCCCACAGAACACTTCAGTTCCCTAGAAAAGGAACATCTCCTCAGATCTCACACAGACATGGACAGCTTTGAGTGGTGATCACGTGTACTGTTACCAGTGAACAGAAAGGTAACTTAAAAATTAACCATTCTGATGATTTGGAAGGCAAAACGCTCTGCTGGTTTCACTGTCTTCACACAGCACTTGGAAATTGCATAGCAGGAGTGGTTTTAGATTCAACAGCTGGATTTTTTTTTCTTACCTTATTTTTTCCAAATGGATGTCACTGACAACCTAGCATGTCACAGACATGCTGTCCTGAACTAGGCTTGGGGTTTTTTAAAATGGGTACATTTAACAATAGTTTGAATTATTGGGAAACTTCAATATTTTAAACAAGTTATAGTATCTGAAATCCAGTTCTTTCTAGAGGAACATTAGCAGAACTCTAAAAATCTGTATGTTTAAATAAATATTGAGTACTTACTGTAGCACAGACTGTTGTGATTGGCATGCTAGATTGCAAATTGTCTTCTTACTTGGGAGGTTATTTTTAGTAACATTATGATTTTTTGAATCGAGTCTGAAAACAATCCACTAAACAATAAACTCTACAGTTCTGTCTTTTGGCATTGCCTGTAGAAGCACTAAAGATGAAGACTTGCAGCCTCAGAAACACCAGCTTCCTGGATTTTGTGGAGCTGGTAAGATCAGGAGTGACTGCTCTGGACATGGAATTCTTGTGCTGTAATGCTGGATCTCTGGGTCTGCTCCTGTAGCTGACCAAGCTGTTCTAAGAAGTAGTTGGAAACAACCATGCTGCCCAAAACTGTTGTCTTGTTTAAAACAAAACAAACAAAACAAACCCCAAAACAGCCAAATGAAAACAAAAAAGGAAACAATCAACCCAACTACAATAAAAACAGTAAATATAACAGTTAAGCTAATATAGCTGAGATTACAACACGTTAGACGTATTCACAACTTGGTAATGTTTTACCTGTACTTTGGTATCACTCTCTTTTGTGTGATAAAGGTAGTGGCTTCCTCCTCCCCAGCATTTTATAAGATATTATTTTGTGCCTCTTGAAACTGAAATTTACTTCTCTTGTTTCTCCAATGTCTTAAAGGTCTTTTTAAGCTACTGATTCTAAATGAGACTTTCTTCTGCTGCTCAACTCTTACTCCTTATGATATTCAGTTAGTCCTGGTGATGGTTGGAGTAAATAAAGCCTTCTCTTCTTCACTGGGTTTTTCACTTTGATGTTTGCCTGAATTCTAGATAATCTGGGCCTTTTACTACTGAAAAAAGCAATTTTGAATTTACCTGCTTCTTGAAGCAACTGAAATGCTTCTATAGCTGTATGGTGAAATAGAGCAGGACATGAGTTTGCCTGAAAACTTAAGTCATCAGAAAAAAATGTTACTTTTTAAGTATGTTATTCTTTCAGTATGATGTGTTTGCAGAGGCCGAAGCCAGGAGCTGGAAGGTGTTATGCTCCTTCCACATCTCACGGTTTCATAGGATGGTATCCAGAGCTTGCACTTGTCAACACAGAGGGCTGAAATGACACTGCATTTTTGCCTGTTCTTGGCATAAGCAAGCAGGATGAGATTTTTGCTTTTAGTACTTGTTTGGGTTTTTTTTTTTTCCCCAGCTATCTTTGAAAGTCTTTTGGTATGTGTATGTAGACTAAAATGATTTGTTCACAGAAATTATCGAAGGAGAAGCCAGTAACATAGTGGCAAGACAAAGGCTGCTCAGATTGCTATTAATAAATTCTGGGCATAAAAGTGACTTAAGTAGGAATGCAGTATTGAAGATGAGAAATTACTCATAATGTTAGAATTGGTTCATAAACAACTAAAATAATGAAACTTTAATTCTGACTTAATAACTACTGACCTGTGGAAGATACATAGCTTTTGTAGAATATGTTTGTGCTTGGTTCTCTGAGTTTGTGGGGTTTTAAGTTGGGTGGGGTTTTTTTTTTTTTTTTTTTTGGTTGATGGGATTTTTTTTTTTATCATTAATGTTTCTGCTGGCAAATGGAAGTAGTGCTACATAAAAGGAGTGCTTTTTTTTTTTTTCTAAGCAGCATTAGTGGCAGTATTTTGAATTTAGGAAGGATTATTATTTAATCACTTTAAAGTGCTTTGTTGAACTCATTATGCATATGCTCTGTATTACGTACTTGACTCTCTTTATTTTGTCCTAAGAATGATCCTGCCGTGTATATGGAGAGGATAATATATAGTTTTTGGGAGCTTTAGTTTCTGTCCCTGAAATAAATATTTAATTATATACATTGGCTAGAGTCTTTCTGGAAAAAATATCTTACTGAACTAAACCGTCTTGTCATTAATTTTGGTGGTTTTGATTCAAAAAGCTTGTTTGAGGATAAGCTAGAGAATGCAGTACAATAACTAATCAGACTTTTATTTAAAACTGGACACAGAATTGGGAAATCTTGTTCACTTAATGAGGAGTTCTTCAGTATTACTGTTTATTTAAAAGGTACAGCTCTCCTCAGCTTTATCTTTAAAGATCCTGTGAGAGGCTATAAGGTGAAAAATAATTTTCTTTGAAGAAAACCAGTGGTGATCAGCTGCTACTTGTAACTTCAGCTTACTTGGTTATGCACAGGGAAAAATGGGAGCATATTTTGCAGGCAGTTGACCACAGTGCAGCTAGATCAAACACAGTAGGAGCTGGAAGCCAAGCAAATGTTTTCAAAACAGGAAAACAGCAGAGTCTCCAAATATCAGTGAAGATGGTTACTGTTTACTTTAAAAAAGAAATACTCTTAAATTCATTAGAGTTCAAATCAAGAGTTCTAGGCTAGGAATAGTGTTTCCTTTGTAAATGTTTGATTCCTCCCGTGTGCTTTTGCAACAAAGGAACTCAAACAGCAGTCTTTGCTGGCAGACGCTTTTTGAGCGATACCCTGGCTGTTCCCAAGGAGCCGAACTGATTTGACAGGTGTTTTTACCAGACAAAATGAAGCAGTTTCACCTACATCTGAATTTTCATAGAATTAATACAAAAAGATTTTTGTGATTGTTTACTTTCAATAGCTTTAAAGGCAAACTTTTTTAGGATAACACAAATCACCTTGTTGGGATTTGGTGGTTTTTCACTCTGAAAAAAATATCATTAACTAAGACACTTTTATTCCAAAGCAATGACTCTGTGCTTGTTGTTCTTGCCTTGGGCTGAGAGCACATGTGAGGAGTTGCTGTGGTTCAGCTGATGAGATGCAGTATTTTGTTAAGTTGTGGTTGTGAGAAGGTGTTGATGGTGTTTTATTGAGAATTCCCTGGTTGATCAAACTACACTGTTCCTTTCAAGTGCAGTTTGATGCTAAAGCTGGGCCAGCCCTGCTGAAAGTCTGTTCTTTCTTTGCCCCATTGCAGAGTTTTCTCTGTCTCCTCTCCAACTAATCTGAAGCTTGAAGAACTGGTTCAGGGAGCTAAACTTGACCAAAAACTGTTTTTGTTGGATCTCCTAATGATAATTCCTCATTCTGAAAAGAAACCCTCCTAGTTTAGGCCTGAGAGCTCAGAAGAGATTGATAATCTCATGTCCTTCCTTTCCACTCCATGGTTGTTTTCATTTATGGCTCTAAGCTTGTTTTCTATCCTGTGACCATCTACTCATCCCACAGTGTGCACTAGAGATTGGCAGTAGGATAGAGCTGTTTAAAAAAGTACACAAAAATCAAGTCCTTGAGCAGCACGGCACAGTCAGCAGGCAATTGCTGAGCCCAGTGCACTGGGGAGGAGAGAACCTACTCGGAGGCTGTCCCAGCAAAAGTCACTGTCTGATCCATGTCTGTGTAACTGGGATTCCTTGTGGAGCACAGCCACGTCTCTGGTGCCAGGTGATGGTGAGCCTGGGTGAATATCTGCTGGTTTGGAAAGTAAGATGTGATAGCAAGGCTGGTAATTGTGAGAATATCTGGGATTTTCAGGCTTTGCTTGTTTTAGTCAAGGCAGCGTAAATCCTGCACCAATTCCCTGTGAGCTGGTGTTTTCTGAAGGAGTTTCCAAGCTCCTGCAGCATACTGCTTTGTAAGAGAAGTGAATCACAACTGATGGCTCATGTGCTAGCCCTGCTTGCCATGGGATCCAGAGTGCTCTGTAGGATGGATCCATCCTCATCACTCTTTGCTGTTCCTTTGAATGTTCTGCAGGCTTTGGCAGCAATAACAACTTTTTTTCATGAACTCCAAAATTTCAAGCTGATACTGAGATTCTCTAAACAGTGATTTGGTTCTATGTTACATAGAGTATTTTCATCTACTCCATAGAAAGTTTTATGTTGGGAAGTAAAAGTAGAAGAGTGTAGTTAGAGGACGGGCAGTTGGAATACCAGGGTAGGAGAAAGGAAGGGAGTTTGTAATGCAGATGTGACAGTGTGCTTGATAGTACACTAAAAGGCATGAGCTGAGCCTGGCAGGCTGGGGTGGGAGGAAGTACAAGGCAAAATGGAAGAGTTGAGCAAGAGTCATGTAATATTAAAAATAGATTATTTTTTTTTTTAATATTCCTACTTTATATTTTCTTCTTTTTAACTGTCACTTAGATTTTTAGCTCCTGTGTTAGTACACGTTGCAAATACATCCTTTCTTTCCTTCCAGCCTCGGTTTATGGAGGAAGGAATGAAAGGGGATGGGAATATGACAGAATAAACTGCAATAATATGTTGCTTGTATCTTTTTTTTTTTTTAATCATTGCTTACTTTGGCAGCTGCATTTCTGATTTCCAGATTTGATAGTTTCTTTTAATTGCAGCAACTTTCACTGTAACCGTATGTTTCACATCAAGTTGTGCATACATGGATTAGGTGTGTGTAGCATGTAAATGATGCAGCATATCCCTTAATCAGGAATGTAACCTAATTTTTTATGGGAAGGCAGATAAATGACAACTTGAAGTTGATTGCAGTTTGTTGCTAAAATAACTAATAAGCTTTTTTGTTTTATGTAATAGGCTGGATGGAAGGAAAACCACGCAACGTTTATGAATGAACTGAAAAATCTTCAGGCTTCAGGACTAACAACCCTTGGTCAGGCACTCAGGTCGTCGTTTGACTTGTTAAATCTCAATAGATTAGTGTCTGGAATAGACAACTATGGACAGGTAACAAATCTGTTTATAGTCTTACATATTTTTTATTTTTCTGTGTTTTTTGAAGTTTATAGTGGGGAGGGATTTTGATGGTTCAAGTTTGGTTCTGCTTTTTTTTTTACGTTGGATAGCTATGCACTAAAAAACTTTAAACTTTTTTTTTCTTCTTTCTGTCTTGTTACATATCCTAGAATATAGTAGCACTTTTTTCCTTACTGCACTGTAAAGCAAGCAGCAGTATAAATGACCCCAGCTGTAGCTACACAGTTGCTGTATGGGAGTATGTACACTGGATGGCAGCGAATCTGCTGCGCAGTGTTGTGTTATGTGATGATGTTCATGTCCTGAGTTCCCCTCTCTCACTTGAAGAGTCCAGTTAAAAGTATTCTGGTTTTTGCCCCACTGTCGTAATGAAATGCCAAGTTCTCTGTATTATTACCAATTTATATGCTGCTTTTGTGGGCTAAAGGGGTTTTGTACTATTGCTGCAGGAAAAAAGACTTGTAATTCTAAAAATCTTTAGGGGGTGTGTGTGAGTGCACAGAATTAGCACATCTTGTGTAGTTCTGTGTGGCTCCACACCGATTGAAAAGAAAATTTGGGGATTATTTGGAAAGATTGCTTATCTCACTGTTTTTTTGATAATGACAAAAATACAAGCCTATAACTGAATGTTAAGGTTACTCTTAGCATTCCTGTGCTTTTGTCTCTAGGGAAGGAATCCCTTCTTTTTGGAGCCATCTATTTTGATTACCATCACAGACGGAAACAAACTGACAAATACGGCTGGAGTTCAAGAGGAGGTAAACTTGCATTAAATTCTTTCAAGTTATGATCTTGCAAGTTGATGCTATGTGGAGATTAATATTGTTTTTTCCTGCTAATAGTACTCTGCTTCATCAACCTGTTTTATAACAGAGAACAGAAACTAACTGTGCTGTCATTACCCAGCCCTAGAATTCATAGTTCACGTGGGTTTCCAGACTATAACTTCAGATAAATTTGTGGATAGGAGAGAAATGGGCCCTTTACAGAGTAACAAATATACCTGAGTATAGGTTTGTCAAGTACTTGAAAATATTCTTAAATCTTTCTTCACCAGCTTCATCTTCCTTTAAATTCTCCCTTGCCTGGAAGTGAATTAACCAAAGAACCATTTCGTTGGGATCAAAGGCTGTTTGCTCTAGTGCTGCGTTTGCCAGGAGCTGCATCTGCGGAACCAGAGCAGCTTGGGAGTGTGCCTACTGATGAATCTGCCATCACACAGATGTGTGAAGTTACAGGAGGTAACTGGATGTTACTTTTCTTTGGTTTACATTTGGTGTTTGCCTTAAAGTGTTTTATTTTCCTTTGATTCAACTTCACCTCTTGCTCTTTTCTCTATCTGAATTACTCAGTGTCCATGTGGATCTGTGTGGTGGTTTTTGAGCTTGGTTTCCAGTAGCACAGGAGAACTTGAAAATAAAACCATATTCCTACTTCACATCATGTAGATGTGTGAGAATTTTCTTAATGCACCAGTAGGAGGGATTGGAAATTTTCTTAGATTGTCCTTCCAGAGGTTGGCTTTGCTCAATCATGAGATTTGTTATTTAAATGTTGAATTGAGTGGGACAGGAATGATTGAGATGTTAATTCTGCTGTGGGGCTAGTAAGCTAAATTTAATCTTAAAAGAATTAATTCTGGAGCCTGTTCCTTGAGATGTTAATCAGAATTTTTTTTTTAATTGGTGCTTGGAAAAAAATGTTGCAGGAGAGGGGAAAGTTCAGGGATGTATAGGAGTTGGCAAGGTTTTGAAAGACAAAAGCTAATAGATTACATGGACTTGGTGAAATCAGATGTTCCTAAGGGCATTTATAAACTTGTGCTTGGACCAGCCTGATTTAGCCTGACTGGCCTCTTTTACTAATGAGTAAAATCTCAGCAGGTTGGGTTGGTTTTTTTTCTTTCCCTTGGTTCTATTGCGTTGGAAAAGTATTTTGCCTTTTACATAAACTTGTACAAAGTTTGTTGCTATTATTTTTGATAAAACCAAAGGCCTTGGCAGTGTGACTTGGGTAATAAAACATCTTCCTTAATTAATATTACTCAAAACTTGCTTTCATATTTTCCCTGTGTAATTTGTCTATTTTGCATTTATCTATTTTGTAATTTATCTCTTGCATAGGTCGTTCTTACTGCGTTCGGACACAAAGAATGTTGAATCAATGTTTAGAATCTCTAGTTCAAAAAGTCCAAAGTGGAGTTGTTATTAACTTTGAAAAGTCAGGACCAGATCCAGCTCCTATTGGAGAAGGTATAGTGACTGTTCTTTTCCCCTAATGTTCAAGAAGAAATGTTTTGCTTGCACGCAAATGTCCTTAAGTGTCTTCAGTGTCCTTTCTACCAGCTTTTCACTACAGTGTACAGGATGCATCCAATGCTTAACACATTCTAAAAAAGTGATTAAAACATTGAGACTTTCCCTCTTTATATGAATTGAGAAAGTCCTAAACTAGAGAGAAATTTGATGGAGATTTAACAATGCAGAGAAACCAAACTGATAGGTGTCTGAAAGGTGTTTTGCATAGTATTATTGGCCAGCTATTGAAAGCAGGGAAAATCAGTAGTGTAAAATATCTTTATAATGAAGAAGTTTCTTGAAATGGTGATCTCTGCTGTGCTGTTTGCTTTGAAGGACTGTCTTCAAAAACTAATGCTGAGATTCTGTACTGCTACAGACTTCTTTGTCCTCAGTGTGGAGTCTGTGCTGGTACACTGCAGTGGACTGGCAGAAAACAGTCTTTTCGGTAGAGAGTGGGATTTAAACAATCTGTGAATTCTTACTAATTAAAAATGTGACAAAAGCTGCTCCTGCAAGGTGCATCTGACTTTTCTGTGAAACTTTTCTTCACTTCTAATTTCCACTATTGGCAGCATCAGTCAGAGAGCTTTGCATCCCATGTAGAGAGACTGTAAATGCAAATTATCAGTCTTTACAGGTGCAGCAGAACTAAAACAAATAAGCTTGCTGATGGCTGTAAGATGTATGGCAGAGAACTAAGCTTAAGCACACAGCATTTTCTGTAACATGTGAGTGTGCCTTGCTGCACTAATTATCTAATTAGCTGTGCCACAGGAGCAGAAGGGTAGATGTGGGCAAATGTTATTGTTTCTCAGATGATGCTGCTCTGCATTTTGATGTATAGATTTTTTCAACCATTGATGTAAACATCTGTATATATATATGTCTTTGAAAGAGTTGTAATGAAACACCTTATTGGTTGCTGAGATGTAAATTTTGCTGGGAGGCAAATGCATGCATGTAGCTTTTTATTTTCTTTTTTTGTTGTTATTTTGCTTTGTTTAAATTTTAGATGGACTTGTTGATTCATCCAGGCCCATCAATTCATTTGCTTCTCAGCCGTGGCATAGTTGTCATAAACTCATTTATGTACGGCCTAACCCTAAAACTGGTGTTCCTGTTGGGCATTGGCCAATCCCAGAATCTTTTTGGCCTGATCAGAATTCACCAACACTGGTAAGTAAAATAAGAACACCTAATGAAGCAGACTGAACATTAATAATAAAGTAGGTTTTTAGTGTGGTTTTTTTTTTCTCTCTGTTTGCTGGTATGATCTGACTTTGCTTTAAAAGGGTAGGTAAAACTATTTTTAACACAGAATGGTATAATCTAACGTAGATACTCTATGCTGTGATGATTACATCTAGAAGGTTTACTTCCATGTATATGGTTAGTTAACTTGGTAAATGTTTTTTAAAAGATTATAAAATTTAAATATAAATTACTTCACATTCCACACATTATAGTGAACCTATTAAATTTAAATAAAAGCTTTATAAAATACATTTATATGGAAAAAGGAATATTTGTTTTTGATAGATCAACCATGTTTTTTCTGCTTAATACTACTTTGTGTATGGACTCTTTCATTAGCAGGAAGAATTAAAACTGAAAGAGAGGAGTTACCCCATTCAGAAAATGAGGGAAAACCAGCATTTATTTGTCCTTTTCTTACTCAAATGATAATTTATTTGGCATGTCTTACTAGCCTTTCTAAACATCTCTCTTTTGTTAGGCATGTTCTGCTTCTGTGCTTTGCAAGTGCTCAAGGTACTGTTTTTCATCACCATGATTCAAATGGGAAAAAAATCAGACTTGGCAGGGAATATCTTGAGATCCTTTGCGAAGTGAGCACAGTTTCACATTTGTAATTCTGTGAACATCAAGCTGGAAAGCAGAGTTGAAGTTTTTTTTTTCTTTAAATCTGTGGTACTATAGGTTGATTGGCATTGGAGACTTTTAAATATCAAGATACAGAGTTGAATATTAATTATGTTTTTCTCTTGGCGGGAAGAATGTCCGTGTGTGTGTGTGTGTGGCTTTTTTTAAGTTAATTACTTAGTTAATTATATTCTATTGTGGGAGCTTGTATCTTTTTCTCTGTAGAAACTGAGAGGGTAAGCCTATAGGATGGTAAAATAAATGCATATGAATCTTGTTAATATAATTTATTTCTTTACCATAATTAGCAGATAATTGATACGATTTTTCCCCTTCCTTTTAGCCTCCGCGCACAGCTCACCCTGTTGTGAGGTTCTCCTGTGTTGATTGTGAGCCCATGGTAATAGACAAGCTTCCTTTTGACAAGTATGAGCTTGAGCCTTCACCCTTAACACAGTACATCTTGGAACGCAAGTCTCCCCATACCTGCTGGCAGGTATTTGCCCTTTATTTGATTCTAGAAGTGTCATTGGCATCCTGAGGTGCTTTGGTCTTTGTAAGCCTGGAGAATTGAGGTCTGGTTGCAGACTCTGCAGTTGATGAGAGTTGATGAGAAGATGAGATGAGAAGAAATGTGTCAAGGTTTCAGTTACCTTCTTTCTAATAGAATTATCAGGAGTCAGAATGAGTGTCCCCTCTACAGGCTTTGTAATCCCATTTAATTCTGTTTCTAGGTCCATCTCATTTTGCTAAGAAATACATCCTGCAGGTTCCATTTTTGGCTAAATTGAAATTCTCTATAGGCTTCCATTTGCTTACAGGAAAAACCTAGCACTAGTTTCCATCCTGTTACCTGATGAACAACTGCAAATAATTTCCACTAGATGGTTGAAACTGCTAATGGGAATTGATGGAAGCTGTTGATCTTGTTGACTAGGGTGGCCTTGAAGAGGTCAAGGTTCTTTTGCTGAAATCCTTTGTCACATGCTTCTTTTGTTGTTTCTGCATCCTCTATGAGATAGGGCTTGTAATTTCTTTCTCAATGGCATTGTAAAGAATAGCTTAATATCTACACCAGGAGTTTGCTTAGTATGATACTTTAGCTGGAAAGATGGGTTTGGAGGTGTCTCTTTCATGTTTCTGTTTCCCTAATAAATATTACAGCTTAACTGAAAATATAATGTGCATATTCAGAAGAAAAGTTGAAGTTACTTTTAATAAACTAATTCCAAAAATGTACTTTAAGCATTCATAGGTAGATTGTTTGCCTAAGCTATTTAAATTACCCTGCTGTTTTTCAAAAACTGCTCTTCTTCTCCCAGCTACATATCTGACCCTTACAAACTAGAGAATTAGGCTTATTGTCATAGGAACCATGTGACAAACCCCCTTCCTTATACTCTGAAAAAATAGAGGAAAACCACTTTCTTTTTACTGCAAGATTTACTTTTCTTTTTCTTAGGAAAACTATTTATGGTTAGATGTAGGTTATTTTGACTGTCTCAATAAGAATATTTACTGTCTTTATCCTGTTGAAATAGTTGTTTGCATGAATTGCTTTTAAGGTTAATACCCCCATATATATAGCTACACTTGAAAAAAAAAAATGTTAAGATTGTTGCTGCTTGGCATAATTTATGAGAAGTTTCTTGAATATCTGTTTTGCTTTATTTCTATGCTTTAAAAGTTTCACATTTCTTTTATCAGAATCATAGATTCATGAAGACTAATTTCAAATAGATTGGTTTTTAATACACCTTCAACAGATGTCCCCTAACTTATTTAAAATAATTTACAAAATTTTCAAAATAGTTTCACTAAAGATTATACTCGAAGAGCATTTCCACACTGACTGGGGGTACACTAAATGTTGCATGTCTCAGTTTTGTGACTGGGGAATACAAGTGCATGCTCATCCTGATGTGTGCAACCTCAAACTTGGCTGTTCTTTATAATTTGCTGTCTTAATGCAATTGTATTCAGATTGATTTTAATTTTAAAATGCCCCATGCTTAATATTCTTCATATTCTTTTAATACAGTGATATTTCTTATTCTTTATCAGGTATTTGTGAGTAGCAGTGGAAAATACAGCGAACTTGGCCATCCCTTTGGGTATTTAAAAGCAAGCACTACTTTAACCTGTGTAAACCTCTTTGTGATGCCTTACAACTATCCTGTTTTACTTCCGTTGTTAGGTAGGTAACAAATTTACATTGGACTGCCAGTGCAGCTACTTCAGAGTAAAAGAAAAACAGTAATGGTTGGTGTTCTGCCTTAGTTTGAGACGTTATAAAATAATGGAGATCAGAGAGTAGAGAATGTTGCAAACTCTTTAACATAATTTGGGAGGAGAGGATTTTCATACCCCCTCTCCCTTTTTTTCTCTCCAGCAGAGGAGGAGAGCTACCTGCTTCCAGTGCATGTTTGATGCTGTCACCTCCTAGACACGTAGCCTCTTCCTTAACCTGGAGTAAGCTTCAACCTCCATTCTTTTCCCTCATTTAGGGTGTGGTGTATCCAGGTTTTGCAGTTGCTCTTGCAGCAGCTAATTTTTTACTGGAAGATCAGATGCAGTGTTTGTCATGGGTGTTGGGAAGAGGGAATTTCCTGACGCAGTTTAGAGCAGTAAGAAGGAATTGAGCATTGAAACATTCTACATTTCTTCCCTGCCCAAAGGACTGGTATTTTTGGGGGTTTTTTGGTTTGTTTTCTTTTTTTTTTTTACTCCCAATGAAATTACTTTCTACAGGAAAGACGGTAGGAAAAGGTGCTCTGAATAACTGCCATAATAATTGTGGCTATTAGGGTCTGGCATAAAGGTAATGACAGAGAGAAGAGTTTCCTGGGTGCTGCTAACCCTTTTAGTTTTAGATGCTGTAAGGCTTTTTTTGTTTTGGTTTTCGTGGGTATGTTTAGTGATACAGAATAACAGTGCAGATCAAGAGAATTAACATTGACTCTTTACTGTCTTACACAGGATTTTTCCATTCATTTCTAGGAATAAAAAACACAACACAGTCCATGAATGCTTTTTCATAATCCTAGTCGTAACAGAAAAGAGAAAACTCTGCTTGCTGATAATTTGCATGTCTTGTATACTCATCCATGTAGCCTAATAGTTGTCCCAAAGTGTCCAAGTAAGATACTTTTAGACTAAACTGGAGTTTCTGCAAGTTTGTGGCTATTGAATTGCTGCAGCAGATCCACTAGCTGAAAAGCCATCACTGATACTACGTGAAGTTCCCTATTCATTTTGATGTTGAAATTTGTAGTTCTGCTGTATCTTCCCTGGCAGATCTTGTCTTTTCCCTGCCTTTTTTTTGCAGGGCTGTAAAGCTCTTCCTACTCTTTGGAGAAAGGCATTTTTCAGTATTTGTAGTGCTGTTCTGCAGTTTACTCACCTGATATCCCACATCTTAAATTTCTGAAGGCTGTTTAAATGAGGATGCAGAGCTTCCATGTTGCCCGAGGTGAAAAGCGGATGTTTTATGTAGAAAGCAAATACTGTGCATTCCATATTGTTAACACAAACACATGCACAAAGTGTTAGGTTCAGATCTTGTTCCAGGACTTAGTTTATCCTTGGTCTCTAAGGCATGGTGGAATTAAGTTCTGTGGAATACACATAAAATATGAAAGCAGATCTGGCCCCTTTTCTACTTAGCAGTACTACTTAGATTAGTAGCTCTTTTTTTCTAACTGTTCACTGAGCTTGAAAGCGCTTCAAGTCCCCTTATCTGGTCCTGGGTATTAAAGATGTGTATTGGTATCCTGTTTGTCACAATTTGGTTGTTTTGTACATTAATCTGAAGTGGATAAAGACTTTGCAACACATTTTTAAATTAACTGATCTGTCTGTAGTTTTTCCTGATCTCTTGCAGCTTGTGGTCCTTTCCTAGTGGTTTTTTAATACCATGTTCATAATTATCCAATGCTTTTAGCTCCCTCTAAGTTTAGAAGTAAAAAAGAATTCTGTGTTAAGTGGACTACACAGAGAGTAGTATCTGAAAATTAATAGGTTGGATTAAAACTGATTTATGAAAGGATTTTTTAAATACTTTTGGATTTTATCTACAAAAGTTTGGGATTTAATCTGTGAAAGACATAGTTAACTGGGTTACTGTTTGTTTGCTTATTTATGTAAATGATTACGTGCAGCCCAGGGCACAATGGAAAAGGTACATTTCAAGTGTCTGTGTTGCAAAGACAGTGTTTGTCTCAAACTCGTGATAGAGGCAGGTAAGACGGTGATGGTGATGTTCTCTTTGAAACTTGTGGCTGTGTTTACCACCATGACTGGTTCTCCTTTTGGAGGGTAGGAATTCCTGCAGTGAGTTTGTACTGTGGGAGGCTCTCAGACAAATCCTTGCTGAAACTTTCCTTAGATTTGAGAACTTCTTAGATAGCAAAGATCAGGGAGATGCTTTTGCATCTGACTTCTCAGACTACAGCTGTGCTGTGGATTAAGAATCATAGCTAGCTGAGCATTATGAATGTCTGTGCCCTTTCAGAGTGACTGTGCAGTTGAACTGCAGGGTTATATGCTGGTACAGCCTTCACAGTGCAGGAAGTGAGACAGTAATAAAGTGCTGATGAGGTGTTTAAGGTTCAAGCTGTACTCATAAACTTTGAAATATTAGGACATACTATGATATTGAACATTTAATATTTTTTTTTCTTTCTGAATTTTGGGAGAGGGGTGTAGTTTAACTTCCATTTTGATGCAAAAACCTAATAGGCTTCTAAGATAAGAATGGATGTTATTTTATATTTGCCATATGTCATTATATCATCACCGGTTCTTTTGGATAATAGTGCTAAGCATGTGGTATATTGAGATTTTTAAATGGAGTTCTAACTTGTCCTCTCAAATTCCACCCCACTTCCTTCAGGCCAGGAAGGAGAACAATTAGCATCTGTAGTGTGGTTTTTATATGATACAGAATTCATTTAGATTGGAATATACCTGTAATTAAGTGTGGTTTGGCTACGAGAACTTGGAAAATTGTATCTTGACATCTGTTCGATTTGTGCACAATATTATGCAAGTCAAATTTTCTTCTCCAAATATATCTTCATGAAAGCTCAATCTGGAGAAAACAATTTCCTTGCTGCATCTGTCTTTCGCACACCCTCTTCTGTGCACGTCTCCTGCAGCTCTCCTGGGTTAATTTTTCAACATCCCTTTCTCCAATCCTGCATATCCTTCCATTAGCCTCACTTTGCCAACATGTGACAGTCCTGCTAAGGAGAATCTTGATCTCAATGGATGGTCTGTAAATTCAAACGATAAATTGCAGGATACTGTGTTTGTTTTTGATGTTTAGAGATCACTGTTACAGTTTATAGCAGCAAATAGGTACATGTTTCACCTCAGTGATTCCTAAACGGCAATGTGCACACCTGTAGTGCAAGCAAGGTATTTCTAAAACAGTATCCCAAGGAAATAATCTGTTTGGTTGTCCCTTTCTTAAAGGGCAACAGTTTTTGTAGCTAATTACTGTCTCTTGTCTGTATCTGTGGGAGAGTTTGCTGCTCTGGCACGAGGCAGGCAGTGTGGCTGGAGGTACATTCCTTCTCTGCCAGGGGAAGAGTCCAGCAAAGCTGACCAGAAAGATTCCCTGCTCTAATTCTTTTTCTTTTTCTTTCCCTTTAATGCCCAAAAATGTTTTTATTGGAGACCAGAATTTGTCTTATAGGTTGAACAAAACAAATCTGGGCTGAAAATGGAACCAAGTTAATGTTTGGTTTAATCAGATAAAGGGAGTCCCTGGTGATGCAAGAGAGAGGCAAGGGAGGTGGAACTCCTAGCAGGTGGATCTGTTGTACCTTCCATGATGCTGGTAGTTGTGTGCAGTCTTTACGTCTGGTGTACCTTTTAAGCTTGCCTGTAAAGAGGACTTGTGGATTGTCTACTGCAGCTAGGACTGGGGATTCGTAATCCTTCAAACCTAAGGTTAAGAACAGTTTTGTGGGGAAGCCCCGTTGGGATATGGGTGGAGGGACAAGAAAAGGGGGGGAAACTTGGCACGTTGGATTTTGGATAACGCTCATGGTCTGGGACTATATGAATGAAACCTCCTTTTGTTGTTTTCCTTGTTGCAGATGACTTGTTTAAGGTTCACAAACTTAAGCCAAATCTGAAGTGGCGGCAGGCTTTTGACAACTACTTAAAAACAATGCCTCCTTACTACTTACTGGTATGTTCCTCTCCTCATTTCATCCTCCTGGGTATAATGGCTGGTGTGACCAGAGTCCTGTGCGTCATACCTCTTCCTAGTAAATTTTTTTTATGTAATTATGATGACATTTTAGGTAGTAACCATTGCTTTGCAGAGGTATGTAGATCAGGTCTAACATTTTTAAGAACTGATTAAATTTCTAGTAATATTGAGTAATAGCAACTAAGATATTAAATGTGTTTTCTAGTCATTAAGTATTAAATAAGCTTTGATCTAAAGTAATTTACCTTGTTCAGAGAAACCAAATTTGGCATTATTTTTGTAACTTGATAAGGAAAATGCAGTTTTGTTTGCTTATTAATGTGAGTGAAGTGCTAGAACGTGGGAAGCTGATGCTGAAAGAACTGGCTGGGTCAAATAAAGGGTGGGGGGAGGCACCATGTCACCTTCTACATGTAGCTTGGACAATGCACCTCAATATGGACTTGCATCATCCCGGCTATTCTGGTACTGAGCCTTTGAGTGGAAATTGCCAGGGGCACCACGCTGTGTGGTGTCTTGGTAATGTGGCATAATGTCCATTGTGAGCTAGTTAGACTGACAAACTCATGTCACATGTTACCTGAATAGACTTGAATTTTAGTGGCCAAAAGTGGAAAAGCTAGAGCACTAATCCATGTGCCTTAGCTTCCTGTAATTGATCTGATAAAATTTTCTTTTAAAGACTTATTCTCTTACTATTGTGTATTTTGTTTTCCTTATAGCCATTAAAGAAAGCCCTAAGGATGATGGGAGCTCCAAATCTGATATCAGATAATTTAGATTGTGGACTTAGTTACAGTGTTATCTCTTACCTTAAAAAACTCAGCCAACAGGTAGTATTGATAAAACCTTTGCAATTAGAAGTGCGTTGATTATTTAGTTTGTGGTAATCTCGTTATAAAGAAGTTAATCCCTGTGGGAGTTCATATGGATGTACAGCATATATTAAAATTGAAGATTGTTGAGCATTTCCACTGCAAATATGGATGAATCCAGAGTGGTTCTGTAGCCAGTGATTGTGCCTTCTGTAAGTGATGGAGGGGAGTGCAAAGGAGACCTCATCAACTATATTTTAAGTATCTGCTAGACCTTTAACCTCCAAAGATTATCACTAATTGGATTTATGACTACTCTTGCCATTGTTCTCCACAGCTGAAGTCAGAGGCTTGCTCTCAGTTTCATGTTTAATTTCCGTGTGTGCCTTGACAATGTGCATGTTCCAAAAAAATAGTGTATATTCTTGTCCACGGGGAATAAAATAGTTCAAGCTTTATATCTGAGCTTCCTATTTCCTTCAGGTCAAATCCATTGTACGTGTTAAGCGTGACCTGGTGGGAAATAGTCTTATGTATCTTTTTCTCTTTGTCAAGAATGCCATTTCAGGTGTAACTGTCTGAAAGCCATGCCTCCTCAGTATAAATGGTTCTTACAACAGTACTTTAATATCTAGAAGTCAGTGGGGAAGCAATGCAGCCTTTAAAATTACAAAGAAAAAAATCCTCCGCCTTAAAGAATGCACAAAATAAATGTGAAAAGCCTTTGAGTGACTGAGCAGCATCTATTAGACATAAAACTTCCTGTGGTATTTCAGTAACTTAATGACATGCAAATTCATATTATTTATCTGCAGTATGGAATTAGAATGGCTTGAGATGACTGCTGTGGTTTTCACAGACTTTCTCAGCACATGAAAGTTTAAATGTGTTGGATGCATTATAAGCTCTTGTATAGGGACAAGCAATTCCAGAGTTCTGCTGTGCTCCTGCTGTCCTTAAATTCAGTTTCCCACAGATAACGAAGCAAACTCTGCAGAGGATGAAATGTGGGGGAAGTGGGTTGCAAACACCGTGGGTTTGGGGGTTTCGGTTGGTTGGGGTTTTTTGGAAGTATTGCAAGTGGGTAAAAATTGTACTTTGAATACAGCTAAAGCTTAATACAGTAAAATTAGCTGTAACTATCATAAGAAATCTGTGCTAATTGGAGAAGTAATGTTTTTAGAAACTTACTGGTGAAGCAGATTTATTTTAAGTCTTTTCTCCCTTATCTGGTTGCAAACATATAGTGCAAACCTTAGTTCCTAGGTTGTTTCAAAATTGAAATCTGAAATTATGTTACTGTATCTGAATAATACTGTTGTTTTAGATGCAGCTTTACAGTAACCTAAGGCATCCCACCTTCCATTGTTTTGTTTTTATTTCCCTTTAATGATGATTCTTTAGGGACACAAAATAAAGTCACAGACTTGCAGCAAAATCAGGGATATTCACAGAACTCCTACTGGCATATAAATTCAGATACACTGGCTAAATATTTTTTCCATATGCTAGCACATTAGGATTTCTTTCTACTGTAGATCTAATCTATGTAATCCAATATATCCCTGGGTAGGTAGTTCTACCATTTTTTGAGTAGTTGGAAACTAAATTTATAGTTTTATTCTGTTACTGTACTATGTGTTTTATACTGGAAACCTGCAATGCCTGCTGATTCTTTAACTTGTGGTGTGATTCCATTTTAGACAAAAATAGAGTCGGAACGGATAATAGGTTCAGTGGGTAAGAAAGTTCCACAAGAAATGGGAATAAAAGTGAAAAATCACTCCAGTGGCCTCTCCTTGGTACACAGTAGGGATTTTAAGCAGCTGCTGCAAGGGATCACTGGGGAATCTCCACTGAGACTGGCGGAAATGAATGTTAAAGAATTTGCTGGCTTCCACATAGGACTTTTAAACAAGGTAAACAGCATAATGATCTTGCACGATTAAGCAGTTGATCTCGTCTGTTTTAAATGGATAACTTTTATGGACTTTGTGTGTTTTAAGTGACAGTCTCTGCAGAAGACAGCTAGTGGTGTTCATCCAGAAATTAACATGTTTAGTCTTAATGGAGCTGAAAGCATTAATGCTGAATAAGATCTTGTTGAAAAGACAATCATTGAGACTACTGTATCCACTTATGAAGCTCTGAAGTTACTTTGGAATAATTTTTTTAGTAGTAAATGTTATTACAGTTCATAGGGGACATTTTCTGTGCATGAGAACTGATGGTTTAACTCAAAGTTATTTGTTTTGTTATAAAACTAGGTTTTGAAGCCACAGGCATTCAGGAATGCCTATGATATTCCTCGTCACAGTCTTCTAGACCAGCTAACTAGAATGAGAACCAATCTTCTGAAAACACACAGGCTTATCTTGGGGCAGGATGAAGGCAAGTAGTCACTGTTCTTCATTAACAGTTTGGAGAGAGTATAGTGCTGTGTGGGTTTTTTGTTTTGTTTTTTAATAAATTCCCTGAAGGTAGTGTTTTCTGTCCCGGGTGTGGGAGCAGAAGTGGACATTGCATCATTTGTTGAGTCAGTCAGTGTCCTTTTCTTGACTCTGAAGGGGAAAGAAGGAAATTTTTGCCTTCTGTCATACAAGATGTCATAACTTGCTTTGAATTTTATAAATAAGTTTCATGGGAGAGCTTTCTCATACAGTAAGGTTCAGTAGATGTTTTTTATACTGATGGTGGCTTAAAAGAGAGAGAGGCTTATTTCATTTTGCCTCTGTTAAGTGCTGATGGTCTAAAGATGCAGTTGTTAGCATAGAGATTAAACTTGCTTATTTTTCATTCTTCTGTCAATTAAGCTTAACTCTTGCTAGCCTTATTTCCAGAATTTTCTTCTTCAGCTCTTCCCCTGTAGTGAAAATAAATAGTCATTTCTAGTTTTTAAATGCTAACACTTGGAACTGGCAGTGTGTGAAGTTTGTATTGCCTTAGTTTTAAGGTAGACTAAATGAAGATCTCATTCTGTTGCAGACTGTCTTCATAGTGTTCCTGTTGCTCAAATGGGAAATTACCAGGAATACCTGAAAATGATGCCTTCACCCCTTCGGGAAATCGACCCAGATCAACCAAAAAGACTTCATACATTTGGCAATCCGTTTAAACAGGATAAGAAGGTAGGAGAAGCCATGCTGTCTGCTGCATCTTTGTATTTAACATGGCTTGGAAGAATTTGTGAGCAGAATTTAACAACTGCAGTATGTTGCTAACCTGTGTAGCTCTTCTGTCATGTGTGGAAGGGAGTGGTGTCTTTCATTGGTCCAAGAGAAATGTGTAGAGAAGCATGCTGATTTACAGAGTGGCACTGCTCTCTCTCTGGTTACAGGGTACATTAAGTGTCTCTGTTCTGAGATTTGTAAAGTGTTTTGAAATGCACCTGAATTTTAACACAGAGGGACTTCATCAGTGAATTGGTGAAACAATTTCTATTTTGTACTGTTTTTTAATATTTTTTGTTTTGTTTTCTTTTCAGGGTATGATGATAGATGAAGCAGATGAATTTGTTGCTGGGCCTCAGAATAAGATTAAACGTCCTGGAGAGCTCAATACTCCAGCATCACTGAAGAGAAGGCGTAGCATGTCCCCACTGTTGAGACGGCCACAGTCACCACCTGTCGTAACAAATCATGTTGGTGGGAAAGGACCACCATCTGCTTCTGGATCCCCATCATATCCAAACCTCAAAGGTGTCCCAGCAAATAAAGGTATTTTGAATTGAATAGCAGCCTGTGTGATCACAAGTAGGAATATGTGTGTTTATAACAAAACAAAAAACAACAAAAAACCCCACAAACAAAACCCCAACCCAACAAAACCATCCAACCAAAACAAAGTAAAAACCTGGAAAAAAACCCCACCAAAAGCGCTCTCTGTGCTTTCAGAGTTGATTCAAAAGGCTGTATCAGCATGTATGTGTGCTTTAGTGTTAATTACGACTGAGTTTCTTTTGTTGGCCTTGATAAACAGGCTGTTGCTATAGCTAATGAAGTCTGGAATAAAAAGAATAAAAAATAATTTCGAACTGGTTTAAAAAAAAATAGTGAAACCTTTTGACAGGGTGCTTTGGAGGTGGCAGGGATTTCAGATCAGCTTTTAGTTCTTATTTGTGTGTTCTGTGGTGGGGAAAGAAAGTTAAAGTATGGTTACATTTGCATTTCCCGCAAATACTCATTTTCTTACCCACCTGTTGCAGCAGATGGAGTCAGAAGAAAACTGTTAGCTGGAATTGGGGGAAGGAAGGAAAACATTAGTTTACTTAGAAGTCATAACACTGCAATAGGAATATAGAAAATGGTGACTTCATGATAATGATAGAAGATGGTAACAGTCCAAAGGGAAGTGTTCTCCTGCCCACATCAAAGGTTGAATAAAAGTATTGGAGAGTTGTTTAGCACTCAGATCACTACACAGTACTTTAAACAAGAAAGGATACAGAACTATTTGCTTTACATTTTTTTGGTACTGCAGTTGTGCACTAGTAAGAGACACGTTTTTAATTTGTAGATACCAATAACAGTATTGTCCAAGATGGCAACGGAGAGAAGAAAGCAGAAAATTGTCAGTCACTCGAAAAGCAAATTGATGGTTTACCTGTGCAAATGGCTCCTTCGGTTCCAGCTGCTATGGGAGAGGATGAAATGTTACCCAATGATTTAGACTCTCTACCTGTTGAATTTAATTGTTTAAACGAAGATGGGTTGGATCATAAACCTGGTACCAACGCGCTTGTTCGAGGACCCCTAAATTACAACGTGGCTGGAGATGACCAAAAACGAGTGATGGAGTCTACTTCTGAATCTGTGCCAAATTCATTTAAAATTACACCTATGATGTTGGAGGGAAACAATGCTGATATCAAAATTAAAATGATGAAAGAAGTTCGCAAACCTGGAAGAAGTAAGTTGGGTTTTTTAATTAATATATTTATTATATGTGGTGCTAGAGAGAAGGCTTTTTTTTTTTCTTTAATTAAGGAGCTATTTTCCATAGACATACAACTTTAGATTTTGAACAATTTCTGATTGCTTGCATGTGAGCAATGGAGGGACAGAAAAGGAATAAAGTTCTTAGATGCTGGGCAGGTGAGTTGAAGTTTAGACAGCAGTGTTTGGGAAGCTGAGTGCCAAGTGACCTTGTTTGCCCTTGAAGATAGATTAACTGCTGTGAGAGGTACCTTATGAAAGCACCACTTCAGACAGAGGTTTTGTCTTTGTAGCTCTATGAAGATGTTACCAGGACAAAGGCATATGTAGCTACAAGGGTACATCTTGGAATATGTTTGAAAGGGCATCTTGACAGTTAATAGCAAAGTGTGTGTGTGGGGAGTTGTGTTTGGTTTGGGGGTTTTTTTAAGAACTGAAGACTAAAAATTGATTTCTTCTTTTTTCCTGTAAGGTTTGATAACTCCCCAAAATCTGAAATGTTGTGAGGAAAAGTAACTTTCCTCCTCAGCTTTTTTTTTTACGTATTTTGCCTATACTTTTAGACAGGATCAAAACCAAAACGTTAACCTGAACCTCCAGCTAATGTATATGCTGTAGGATTTGCCATAAGCATAATCTTTTTGGTTTTTCCTAAATGACAGATGTCCCTCCTGTGGTCTGTGTCTGAGTGAATTATTTGTACAAATTAACTACTGAATGTTTTTCTGATATATTATCTAGTGCCAGTAATTAGTATAATGGAGTATTCTTAACTCTTCTGTTTTTGTGAGCTTGCATTGCTTTCCCAAAACTTAGAACTTCATTGAGACATATAAACATTGTGACAGACTGAGGCTGTTGAGAGATTAAGCCATTTTTATGCTGCATCTGTATTTTGGTTTTAAGGTGTTTTAAAACAACTTCCTACTTGGATATGTATTTGCTTCCTGGTTTGCAAACTGGGCTCATCTAATCTTACACAAAATTCATGCCTGGTAAATGGTGATGTAATGTAAAATAGTGCTACGTTCAGTGTGATTCACCTGTCTCGCCGTAGAGTTCAGGCAGTCATCAAAGAGGCTAAAGTGGGTTAAATATGTACATATATTCTCAATTCTGACCATATATCCTCTCTGTGCCTGCTGCATCACTCTGAGCAGGCTCTTAGTCACAGCACTGTAAATATCTCCATGCTGGGTTCAGCTATGGAAAATAATGAAACAATGCTATTTTTTGTTTCTAATTAATGTGTCCAGTTCATTCTTTTGCAGTGGATGTATTTGTGCTCACACTAAGCACTGGTAATTTGTCTTTCTAAGAGAACTAATCCTAACCTCTGCTTTCAGAAATGACAGTTCTAGGTTAAAATGGGGCTTGGTGGCCTTTTGTGCATATTAACTGCTAACGATGGCACTGTGTTCATGGAGATAGGAGGCTTCTGTACCTATCCTGCATTTTCTGAGGACAGCTGGTTTTAGCTGCTGCTCTTAAAGAGAAAGTAATTCTTTGATGCCACATTTAAGTACCAGATCATCAGTATCCCTTCAAATTATTGATATCACCTACTTTCTGTGTATAAAGCTAATACAGGCTTTTTTCTTGCCTTAAATATATTATCATACACACAAGTGTGAAACTCCGGGCTTTATTTTTTCTTTTGGCTGTTCAGCTTTATGGAAAATGCATTTGCAAGATTTATTTTTAATATATGGTTGGATTTATATCTTTTTTTTATAGATTATGAAAAAATTTTCTCTCTTCTTGAGGAGGTGCAAGGACCTGTGGAAATTCAGAAGTATTTCATTGAATTTGCTATCAAGGAAGCAGCAAGGTTTGTATAGATAAAAATCACTCAGGAGTCATAAATCTTAATTTAGATCATGATAGTAAATCATGAACTTTTCCAGTACTGGTACTTTGTTTTCCTTCTTGACATACTTTCATTATTGTAGTTGGTTTAGTGGTCAAACTACCTATATTTTTTACCGAGTAAGTGGTCTTTACTTAAAGTTTAAATGTGAAGTAAAATTGAAGACTGACCCAAAATTTGTGTGGATTGGGGAAGTGTGGCTGTATTAAGTTTAATTTTCTGGCCATTCTAGTGCCAGAAATAAAGCAAGCTCTTCCATACTGGAAACAGAGAGCCTCTGGTAATACAATTTGTCATGGGTGGATAGTCTCAAGTTGTTCACTTGTATTTTTGGAAGAAAATTCAATTGCTTTCCTTCTCTTTCTTAGGTTTAAAAAACGGGTCTTAATACAACACTTAGAGAGAATACTAGAGGAACTAGAGTTCAACAGCCTACCCAACAGAGTTAATCATGTCAACAGTAGATAATGATGTACCGGCCAGATGAATACGGACCAGGAATGAGTTTGCTGTGCCACAGAAGAGTGGAAGAGGATGTAGCTGCTGCCCTCACCATCTTGGCAGTCAAGTGATTTTACTGTCACAGTCTGAGAAGAAGCAGTGGAGCTTTAACTTTAAGAACCTCTATCGGCAGAAGCTGGGCTATAACCTTAAGGATTTGCTATGAAAGGTGTGGCTTTTTTCCTGTGGAGGGTGCTATTTGCTCAACAGGCTGAAGAAAATAACCATTGCTGCCCCTCCTGCAGGTGATGAGAATTTACTCATTTGAACGCTGTCATTAGACATTTTACGTGCTGTAGGCAGCAGGTTGCACTAAAATGGGGCACTGTCAAATGCACGCACTGTCTGCATCGTGGAGAGAGCCCGTGTGTTCCCAAAAAAAATAAAAACCCTCCCAGAAACACCTGCACTGGTAAAATTGCATGTTGCCACCACAGAGACAAGGGTCTTGTTCCCAAGAACTGCTAGCCATGCCTTTAAACTTGAGATTCAGTGTAGATTGAGAGTAAAGAAACTGCTATTGTATTAATGAAAGCTAAAGACAGCCCTGTGACTGTTACCACCCGATGGTCACTAAACAATCTACCTCAGACTCTCTTCTGTTTTGTCTGCAGACATTATGAAAGTGCACCTGAGGCTTCCCAGGTCCCCGACTTCAGTTCTCTTTCATCCTGTGAGGAGGACGGAGATTCTTCAGGTGGCCTTGGCACACGCTGTGCTTTGGAAGCACTAAAAGGAAACGCTTTTAAAAACGTGTATTTTAATGTTCATACAAAAGAGATTATTTTGAACAGTATTGTTACCAGATCACTAATTTGATATTTTAACTGTATAAATTTTTTGGAACATATGTATATATAAAATAAACCATTTTATTAATTTTTAATAAGTGCTAATCTGAGAAGTCTGTAGCGGGCACCACCGAGTTCCTCCAATTGTCTGTTCCCAACAGACTGATGATATTTTTGTAAAACCAGTGAGTAGTGTAGCTGTACTGCAGCTGAACCTGATCTGCACACCCTCAAACACAGCTTGTGATGATAGTTGCAGGATGTGTTTGTACCCTGGAGCACCTGCCCCATCACTCAGCTCAGCCTTCGTGGGGTGCACGTTGCAATTTACCAAACCCTTGGTTACCTGGGCTGGCATCTTCTCCGTTCCTCATACTCTTTTGTCCAAAGGTAATTTTATATATCACAAAGCACATGAAGAAGACTGAAGCACCTGCATGTAATTATTTTTTTCCTTCAAAGCAGTACCAATGTGCCAGTAGTAAGTGGCTCTTCTGGTAATTGTGTGTTTTCAGTTGTTCACTTAATCTGATCCTCTAACAGCTTTTTTCTAAAGACAGGTTGAAGTTGTGCTCATGTTAACTAGGTCTTTACCTTGTACTGCAAATACCCTAGGGATTCTGGTTGACTAGCCAGTGCATGAGAGGCAGGGAAACAGATTTTAGCTCTTGAACCTGTACTTCTGTGTTCCTACTGGTATTTTTAGTACTAGCCAGCCTGTGAGACATCTTTTCCATCTGCTCTGAAGCAGTGGCTTTGTCTCTCTGGAAGATGCAGTTTGACCATTGGAATTACACCAGTGAAATTCAAGAAGGAAATAAAATCCAGCAACAGCAAATCTCTGTGACAGTGTTATATGAATGAAGTGACACAGTGAAAGGCGTTGCTATAAATATGTCCTCATTCTTCTCCTGGAAGTAACTTTAATTCATCTGTACAGTTGGACATTTTTTAAACACAGAAATACCTTGGAATGATACAAAGGGGAATTCAGTCCTTCAGAATCGTTACATGGAAGCTGCATGACACCATGATAGACCTGCCATGCCTGATGTTGGACTCTTAAAAGGGAATTTATTTACAGAAGGTCAGATATACTGTGCATACCTTGTTTTACAACGGCCTGGTTGCGTGCATCAAATTGCATGTAATGTGCTATTTTTGAAGTAGTAGATGGTAAGAGGAGACAGCTCTCTTGTATCTAGTTAATGGTTATTTTATTTCCTGGTTCCAGAGACACTCACTTGATCATAATGTGTCTGAGTAGGGGTTGAGTTTTTAACCTAGTGACCTTGTTAGTATGTAAACCTGCTTTTTTGCTGTGATACAGTTGGCTGCTAAATTAGCTACAGGAAGCTGGTGACCTTCATTCACCTGTGTGGAATCTTATACCTCAGGAAATGCACAGAAACAGTAACATAGTCCATTCCAGTTCAAGCAGTGAGAATTTTCCCTTACTTCAACCTTATTTTACTTGAATAAATTAAATTTGGATCAGAATATTAGAAGGGAAGAAACTTCATAGTGGACTGGACACGAGCCTTCATAAGCAGGAAGATGCACCATCCTCACAGGTTGTGTCAGTGAAGAGATGAAGAAAAAGAAGTGACAATAATGCATCAAAGAGTGCACACAGCCCTGCAACCCACATGGAACACAAAATGAACATTCCTTCTTTGGGAAACAGTAAATGCTCCATGACCATGTTAAGGAGAATCTTAATGGGGATAACTCACTGTGAGCCAAAGAGCCACGCTGGATGTGGGTGGAAGATGCATTGAACAAATAACAGCCACAGGCTTCGAGTGGCACTCTTCCCTTCGGTCTGCAGCCGGGACAGCCAGGGGAGGTTACCCTGGAGTCAAGCTTTGCCTTTTCTGGGTAGAGACCATGACCCCAGCAGCAACTGCTGTGTTACTGAGAGCGTGTCTAGTCTGTGTGACAGATGAGCCCCTGCACAACAGGAGCGTTCCTCAACAAGGGCTCAGGAGACGGCGTGGGTCCACAGATACCTGCGGATGTGCAGCTGGGATCTGGAAAGCTGTATGTGCTTTGCTCTAACTTGCATGTTTAAGCCCTTATCTAAAACTGAAGTAACGTGGGGTGCTTAAACTGGAATGTTAGGAAATAGGGGAAAATAGTGTCTGGCTGTGTTTCCTGTAAGGAGTGTTGTTTAACAATCGGAATGAAGAAATAAGGTGATTATCTTCCTGCCGTGGGTAGAAGGGTTCTGTGGGACTTTGGAGTCCTGTATGTATTCTGGTTCTTCCGTTGTGTGACCCTCTCTTAACTGGTCATCCTCATTGCTCATTATTTTTTGCCTTTTAAACACCAAGGAGTTTTCCTCTTAAAATGTGTCCCTAGCCATGCAGCTGCCAGTTCAGTCACTGGTGGCAGATGTCTGTTAGGTGCTGCTGTTCCAGTTTGCACTGTGCACTTACCATGGGCAAGTGTGTTCTTGCCCATGCTTAACCAGCATCAGAAATCAGTTGTCATCTTCCAAAATAAAAGCCACAGAGGCTGTTGTTACTGTGCTGTGCTTGACTTTGCAGTGGTCAAGCAATTGTATAAATTCGTTTTACAGGAAACTGTACGGGAGGAAAAAAACTTTATTTTTCTTCTGGTAATTTTCTCCAGGTTCTGTCTCTAAACTGGCTGTCTGAAATGGCAGCAGTATGGGGTGTTGAGTTTGTTTCCATTTGTTCTATTCTTTAATATCTACTAAGAAATTTCTGATGGAAAAATAGGAGTGGAGATGCACTGGCTAACAGAAACAAACTGTTAAAAAAAAACACCAACGATAAAGCTACGTGATAGTGTTTCATACCAGCAACATGGCAACATCACACCTTCATCAAACGGACTCCAGAACGCTTGTCTTGAAGGATATACAACCTAGTTAAGCTGAAAACAAGGCCAAAGACACTTCAGATCTGGCAGAAACGAGGTTTGGCAGAGATCTGAAGGAAGGATGTTAGTCACTGGATTTAAAAGAAGCTGCTGCTTTCAGGTCTGCAAAAACAAGATGAAATCTGTCTTAAGTGGAAAAGGAAGAAACTGGAGAAGAATAATGCCTTGGGATTTAGCAAAAAATCTTGTGGCCTGCAGGAATTGTTAAGCTGTACCTCTAAGGCTGAACCTTGTGATGGGTTTTTCACTGCCTTATTTAGGCTGTCATTTCAGGGAGGGAAGACAAGCAAAAATGCTAGACCTGTCTTGATTTTCTTCATTCCAGTTTGGCTGCAGCCTGGCATGTTGTTTCATCCTTGAAAGTAGACTGTTGGCTTGGCTTTAGTGTGGATGTTTTTATTCTCTCATTCTGCATTGACGGTGTTTTCGACTGTGTCTTGGCAGTGGCTGAAACAGTGGCAGTTTTGTGGGAAGCCTGTCGTTGTCCACCAAGCACGTAGCCTGGGTAGAGGCTATGGGTAGAGTTGGTAGGAAAAGAGGCTGCTGCTTGTATTCTGTAAAAGGTGGTTCAGCTTCATCTGTTCAACTTAAGAGCCTTCATTTTAAAAGTCTGAGAAGCTTTTCAAGGCTGGGAGTGCAAATCTGGTAACTTCAGTATCAGATTATTCAGAGTTCAGAAGAACAACACACCAGGGAAGGGGTTAAACAGTTGATACAGCCTTGTGCTAAACTCACCCGAGGGTATTTTCTTGTGCAGTGGAAGAATGTAGCTGTGTGTGCCTTCCCTGAGCTGGCAGCCATGTGGGTTTGCCAGGAATGGTGACTGCTGATACCACGTGAAGAAAACAAAATCACCCTTTACCATGAGTTGGGAACCTATCGAAGCTGCATTTCATAAAATTCTGAGCCTGGGCTGAAGCTCTTAATTTATGGTGAAGACCAAAATAATAATTTGGCCTGGGAAAGGCAGTGGAATGGAAACCCCCGATAAGATTTTTACTGGAGATTTGTTTGGGGTTTTTTTGAGAGCTTGGGGAAGTTTCATCTCCACATCTGCAGTGAGAATTTCACGGTTATTTGCTACTCCTGGATCAGCTCCAAGAGCAGTGGAAGTAGCCGGATCCTTGGCATGTCTGTGCGCTTGCTGTCAGCTCCATCACTGTCACTCCTCTAATACAAGCAGTCTTGTATAATGTCCCTTAAAATACCGGACACCTCTGGCAATTTGCTGTATCTTAGTGCTCCACTCACCACTGCTGAGCACCTGGTAGGAGGGACAGAAAGCTGTTTGTGAAGCATCCTCATGGTGTGTCCCCATTTGTAAAATACTTAGAGCCTCGCAGGGCAGTGAAATGGGAGGCAAAGTTTATTGAAGCATTTTGGTGGTTAGAGGAGCAAAGCTTTAACTGTGTGGTCAGCCTGGGTTTTGTCATTTTTTCTGAAGTATGTGCATATTTTAATGTTAACATTTTATTTGTAAATATTTAATATATAGAATATATCAAAGAGAGATCCAGCTTTTTGTAAAGGATGGAGTTGCTTCATCTTGCAGGTGTGACCTGCCTGTTTATGCAGAGGTTGCCCTTGCAGAGAAGGAGGCTGAGCTGTGCTCAGGTTTTTCCCAGGGAGGGACTCGGCTCTGGTGCATCCCAGGTCTTGGGTGTGTGATGATGGGTAACTCCCTCCTGTCAGCTGGAGCTGGATTTTTGCCGGGTTTGTGGAAATGTGTATCATTTCAGGAGGTGGTGGTGGTGTGAGCAGTTACTGCCCGGGCACAGCTTCTAAAGCTTGGGAACCTGTCGGGATAATTGGGGTTTGATCGTGGACAGTTGAAGCTCTTCTGGTTGTGTACACTGCTGTAGGAGTTGCCTGATCTCTTGGTAGTGGGTGTCTCAGGATTCAAGGGTGCTTTCCTAAGCAGGACAGAAATAAAAATGAGCCTTCTTCCCCAAGACTAAGAAGTTATAAAAATAAAAAAAAGGCATTTTGCTGATTGCAGATGATTATAATGCAGCTGCTCGACAGTGACATCCCAGCCATGGAAAAATAACACTGGTTCTTCGAGCTATTTTCCAGTCTGTGCAGTGTATTAAAATCCTTCATGCACAGCTGGCACATTTAACTTTGATTATGTTGTTGAAGTGGCTGATCTGAGAGCAGCCTGGATCCCAGTTGCTTGCAGAATTCGAAAATAAGGTTG